TTCAACTATCCACCGAGGCGTGGATTTTTTAAAGAATATTTTTTCAACTATCCACCGAGGCGTGGATTTTTTAAAGAATATTTTTTCAACTATCCACCGAGGCGTGGATTTTTTAAAGAATATTTTTTCAACTATCCACCGAGGCGTGGATTTTTAAAGAATATTTTTTCAACTATCCACCGAGGCGTGGATTTTTTAAAGAATATTTTTTCAACTATCCACCGAGGCGTGGATTTTTTAAAGAATATTTTTTCAACTATCCACCGAGGCGTGGATTTTTTAAAGAATATTTTTTCAACTATCCTCCAAGGCGTGGATTTTTAAAAATATTTTTTCAACTATCCTCCAAGGCGTGGATTTTTAAAAAATATTTTTTCAACTATCCTCCAAGGCGTGGATTTTTAAAAAATATTTTTTCAACTATCCTCCAAGGCGTGGATTTTTTAAAAAATATTTTTTCAACTGTCCTCCAAGGCGTGGATTTTTTAAAAAATATTTTTTCAACTATCCTCCAAGGCGTGGATTTTTTAAAAAATATTTTTTCAACTGTCCTCCAAGGCGTGGATTTTTTAAAAAATATTTTTTCAACTATCCTCCAAGGCGTGGATTTTTTAAAAAATATTTTTTCAACTATCCACCGAGGCGTGGTTTTTAAAAGAATATTTTTTCCGAGGTCTATGTGAGGCGTTGTTTTTTTTAAAGAATATTTCTTCCGAGGTCTATATGAGGTGTGGATTTTTTAAAGAATATTTTTTCCGAGGTCTATATGAGGTGTAGATTTTTTAAAGAATATTTTTTCCGAGGTCTATATGAGGTGTGGATTTTTTAAAGAATATTTTTTCCGAGGTCTATATGAGGTGTGGATTTTTTAAAGAATATTTTTTCCGAGGTCTATATGAGGTGTGGTTTTTTTAAAGAATATTTTTTCAATGTCCTACCGTATTTTATGTTTGGATCCGTTCCCCTTGCCATTCCTAATCTATGAATGAAGTCTTTGAGCATCATGACCATCATCATCTTCATCATTAACATGAATCACATTTAGCTACTGTGAAAAATTGAAAAACACCCATATGAGCAACATTTTCATAATTTTCATTTTATGAAAAAGAATCAAAGATCAACTGAGTTGCAGAGCTGATGTTCTTCACAGATAAGAGCCACAAAGTGGATGTAGAAAAAAAATTATGAAGAAGACGATGATGAATAAGCAAGGAATATGGCTGGATGGTGGTGGTGTGGTGTTGATGGTGGCCTTAAGAGACACATCCATCCACTTTTGCAGCCCCCAAGATCTCAAACAAGAGTTGTTGCTTAGTTTCCAAACGAATATTCTTAAAGACGGTTCGAATAAATTTTTCTTTAACGAAATTATTGTTGTTTTTTGTGTCCGAAAGTTCAAAAAATCGCAGGCTAGAAGGTCATTATATCCTTAGAGGGAGATCAAAAAAAAAAGAAAAACGAAAGGAAGGACAAATGCGCAAATGGCGTTTGATTTTCAAAGGTGAGAGAGAGGGGTTAAGAAGCGGGGGAAGGGGAGAGGTGGAAAAAAGAATTTGAGGAAGTTTTTTTTTAAAAAAAGTCAATTTTGTGAGGGCTCTAAATCCGGATTGATTGCCAAGATCAACCTTGGAAAAATATTCTTTAAATATTTTTCAAAAAAAAAAAAATTAATTAAAAAGATTAATATTTTATAAAAAATCCACGCCTGGGAGGAAAGTTGAAAAAATATTTTTTAAAAAATCCACGCCTGGGAGGAAAGTTAAAAAAATATTTTTTAAAAAATCCACGCCTGGGAGGAAACTTGAAAAAATATTTTTTAAAAAATCCACGCCTCGGTGGAAAGTTGAAAAAATATTTTTTAAAAAAATCCACGCCTCTTAGGATTGTTGAAAAAATATTTTTTAAAAAATCCACCCCACGGTGGAAAGTTGAAAAAATATTTTTTAAAAAATCCACGCCTCGGTGTATAGTTGAAAAAATATTTTTTAAAAAATCCACGCCTCGGTGTATAGTTGAAAAAATATTTTTTAAAAAATCCACGCCTCGGTGTATAGTTGAAAAAATATTTTTTAAAAAATCCACACCTCGGTGTATAGTTGAAAAAATATTTCTTAAAAAATCCACGCCTCGGTGTATAGTTGAAAAAATATTTTTTAAAAAATCCACACATCGTTGGATAGTTGAAAAAATATTTTTTAAAAAATCCACAAATCGGTGGATAGTTGAATAAATATTTTTTAAAAAATCCACGCCTCGGTGTATAGTTGAAAAAATATTTTTTAAAAAATCCCCGCCTCGGTGGATAGTTGAAAAATATTCTTAAAAAAATCCACACCTCATATAGACCTCGAAAAAATATTGTTTACAAAATCCACGCCTCAAATAAACCTCGAAAAAATATTATTTAAAAAATCCACGCCTCAGATTAATTTTTAAAAAAATTTTTTTTTTAATTTTTTTTTTTAAAAAAATCCGCTGGTCAAAAATGTAAGAATATTTTTTACGTTTTATATAAAAAAGATGATTGGATTGGGATTGGTCTTGAAAAAAATAGGTTATGTTAAAACCATCTCAATCTCAGATACCAAAAAGAGACCTCAATATCAAAATTCAGAATTTTATCTCTATTCCTTTGCCGAATAACAAATTTAGAACTAATTAGTACGTTTCGTACAATTATCGTGCTACATCTCACTGCCAGATACCATCAAAGACTTCAGTATAAAATTTCAGAATTGTATCTCTATCCCCTTACCAGATACCAAATTTAGTACCATTTAGTACTATTCGTATAATTCTAGTATAGACTTCCATAACAGCCTCCATTCTCTAGATACCAATAGAGATCTAAATATCAAATTTTTTGAATTTTATCACTATTTTTTTCTCCAATACCTAATTTAGTACCATTTAGTACTCTTCGTACAAATATAGTACATATTTCCAAAACCACATTTATATCTAATTTCCAGATACCATCAAAGTCCTCAATATCAAATTTCAGAATTTTATCTCCATTCCTTCATCCAATATCAAATTAAGTACTAATTAGTACTTTTCGTACAAATATGGGACGTAAATCCAAAATCACCTCCAGATCTCAATCCCAGATACCACCAATAGTCTAAATATCAAATTTGAGGATTCGAGCTCGATTCCTTCACCCAATACCAAATTTAGTACGATTTAGTACCATTTGTACAATTCGTCCAATTTAGTAGACAATCCCAAACCACCATCAAATCTCATATACAAATACCATTGGTAATCTAAATATCAAATTTCAGATTTTTTCTCTAATTCTACATCCAAAACCAAATTTAGTACCTTTTAGTACTTTTCGTACAATAATAGTATATATTTCCAAAAACTCCTCCACATCTCATTTCCAGTTACCAACTAAGATCTCTCGGTCAAATTTCGGTATTAAAGCACTATGCCTGCACCCAATACCAAATTTAGTACGATTTAGTACTTTTCGTACAATTACAGTACACATTTCCAAAACCACATTTATATCTAATTTCCAGATACCATCAAAGTCCTCAATATCAAATTTCAGAATTTTATCTCCATTCCTTCATCCAATATCAAATTTAGTACTAATTAGTACTTTTCGTACAAATATGGGACGCAATTCCAAAATCACCTCCATATCTCAATACCAGATACCAACAGTAGTTTAAATATAAAATTTGAGGTTTCTAGCTCGATTCCTTCACCCAATAAAAAATTTAGTACGATTTAGTACTTTTCGTACAATTCGTCCAATTATAGTATATATTTCCAAAACAGCCTCCATATCGCCCCTACAGACATCAAAAGTGTCATCCATATTAAATTTCAGGATTTCTGCTTTATCCCTTCACCCTATACCAAATTTAGTACCATTTAGTACTTTTTGTCCATTTTTAGTGCTCATTTCCAAAACCTCCTAAATACACAATTCCAGATAGAGATTCCACAGACTTCAATATAAAATTTCGGGATTCCAGTTTTATTCCTTCACCCAAAAAAAAATCGTACGATTTAGTACTTTTCGTACAATTTGTCCATTTTTAGTGCACATTTCCAAAACCACCTCCACACATCAATTCCAGATGCTAACAGTGACCTTGATATTAATTTTGAGGATTCCAGCTCTCTCCCTTCACCTAATACCAAATTTAGTACCATTTAGTACTTTCCGTACTATTTAGTAGAATTCAAAAACCACCTTCCTATTTCAATTCCGGATACTGCCAAAGACTTTTATATCAAATTTGAGGATTCCAGCACTATTTTTTCACCCAATACCAAATTTGGTACTATTTAGTACTTTTCGTACAATTCGCTCAATTATAGTACACACTTCGACAAACACCTCCATATGAAAATCCTAAATGTCGACAGAGTCCTCATTATCAAATTACAGGATTTTAGCCCTATCCCTTCACTCAATTTCAAATTTAGTACCATTTAGTACTTTTCGTACTATTTAGTAGAATTCAAGAAACAACTCCAAATCTCGGTTCCGGATAGAAACAGGGACCTTAATATCAAATTTGAGGATTCCAGCTCTATTCCATCACCCAAATACCAAATTTGGTACCATTTAGTACTATTACGCACTATTTAGTACAATCCCAGAACTACCTCCATACGTCAATTCAGGATACAAAAAGGGCTCTAAATATCAAATTTGAGGATTCCAGCTCTATTTCCTCACCAAATACCAAATTTAGTGCCATTTAGTACTTTTCGTACTATTTAGTACAATTCTAAAACCACCTCCATATTTCAATTCCGGATACAAAAAGGTACCTAAATATCAAATTTGAGAATTCCAGCTCTATCCCTTCACCCAGTACCAAATTTGGTACCATTTAGTACCTTTCGTACAATTGTGGTACACATTTCCGAAACCATGTTTTTTTTGAAATATCAAATCTCAATTTTTTGTTTATATTTTTTTTTTGCTAATTTTTTCTCTTTTCCTCTCTTCTGTTCTCTTTCAGATGCCATATATCTATCCTCCTCCCGCCAAATGTTGGAACCCATCATGGAAGAGACCTCCGAGGATGAGGAATATGCCTGGAATCAATACGATTCCCAGTTGAGTGACAGCGGTGGGGGTGGAGGCGGTCGAGAAGATTGCGATGATGGCGAGGAGGGTGGAGAAGATCTCCACGAAAGCCTCTGCAGTGCCGGTAATTGTGGCCGTAACACCAGCAGTTTTTATAGTTCGGCAGAATCGGACACAGGATCAGTGATACGAGTCGAAATAAACAAAGGTAGGTCTTTGAGAAAATTTTGTGGAGATTTTTTTTATTGAGTTTTTGTTGTTTTTTCTTTCAGATAATGACTCCAATTCGGAACGAGATATTTTGTGTCCGGCCAAAAGGGCCAGGCGCTGTGAGGATCCCACCTCCGAAGATGAGGTGGTGTTGCGGCGTCCCCATTTAATGACCTATGGGGAAATGAAAAACAATAGCCTGGAACGATTTTTAAACTATGAGAATGTGGCCCGAGATTCGTGGGGTAGTGGCGCCCAACAGTTGTCCCAACCGCAAAGAAATAGTTTGGGAAATCGCCGACCTCCTGGAGGCAACGGTTTTGATGATTTCTATTCGGACTCGGATTCTCTGTCCTATAACTCCTTGAGCCGTTCTTCGTCGTTGATACAATTTGAGTCGCTGGAACGTCAGCTAATGCTGCAGGAACAACATGCCAGCATGAATAGTTTGGGTAACTCCTCCCCATCCCTTTTGAGTTTTGATATGTCCACCACTAATTCGGAGGATCCCTCAAGGAATTCCCTGAATTCCTCCAATAATTCGGCCAACAACAGCCGGCGGGGATCTCAGTCCTCGCTGCTGAAAAAATACGAGTCGCTGGATGGAAGACTGCATCAGACCTATTACGATTTGGATAAGCTAAATTTCGATGACATGGAGACGGGAAATGGAGGAGAGAACTTTGTGAGATCTGGCCTAAAATTGGCGGAATTGAGATCTGATTCAGAGTCTTCGGGCTCCTCCTCCTCTTCCGAGGCTTCGGATGGCGGAAGTTCACGTTGCCCCTCGGTACTGTCACCCAGGGATTTAATGGAGGGGGAATTTTCGAAGAAGTTCCAGAGATCCCAGAGTCGCAAGGGCAAGTCCTCCGCCGAGAATCTTAGTGAGGATTCAGGCTACTGTGAGCCCTTCGGGGGTGGAGGACTGCTAAGGCGCAGCAAGTCCCAAAGCCTCTGTAAAAATTATGAGAAATTCTCCGAAGAAGATGAAGAGCTAATGGAACACAAGTCACTGCAGCAGGAGAGGGCAGAGAGGAAGGCGGGAGAGGCTGAAGCTGAAGATGAGGCAGAGGCAGAAAAGGCCAAACATTCCATTGAAGAGTTTAAAAATAATACCTCACTCTATCAAACACCCCCCACCTCCCCCCTGTTGGATTACATGCGCCAGCAGCAACGCAGTCTGGCCCACTCCCCCTCACCCGTCTCCTCCGAGGTGTCGACGGTGTCTTCGGCCTCAAGTAAGAACTCGGCAACATCCTCATCATCATCGCTGGGAGCCAATTCATGCTCATCTTCATCATCGTCTTCCACTACGTCGTCGGCCACGACATGCGCATCTCGGGCCTCGTTCACATGGCTAATGCCTGCGCTGAGAACAACAACGCCGCCACCACCACCACCGCCAGCGCCATCAGCGAGAGCTTCTGACTGCCCAGAAAATACGCTCCGAATTAGTTTCGACGATCTGGGTGAAAGGAAAACATCGAACGGGAAAGATCAACTCAACGACGGTGTCGTGGAAAGTGGAAAAACAACAACAACAACAACACGAACAACAAGTGCGGTCACGACGAAGACGACGACAACCACGATCTGCGGTGACAAAGAAAATGAACACCCCAAGGAGGGGGGTAGCCTAGCTAGAACACAAACACCAAGTGATGACGTCAAAGAATTGAAAATCGAAAATTTCGAATTGGAAAAACGGCAAAATTGTGGTGTCTTGGAAACAAATTTTGATTTTGAAAATAATTTTGAAAAAATTGAACAACTCTCGGAAGAGTTTCCGACAAAATCCGTCAAAAAACAATTGAGTTGTGAGAAAAATTTTGAAAATTTCCCTCGAATTTTAAGTTCTCCGCCGCCAAAAATTGAGGACGAATTTTTACTGCGAAAATTGCAGGAACAGGAAAAATATTTGGAATTGAATTCAGGCGGGTTTGAAGAGCCCGAAAATCACACGAAATCAAGTGAAGAAAATTGGGAAAATTCTGAAAATCAGAGATTAAGGAAAATTTTGGAAAATTCCAATTCATCGCTGCCGGAAAAATATTTGGAAAATAATTCTTCAAATTCTGAAATTTTGAAATCAACTCTTCAAGAAAAATATTCGAAATCAAGTGAAGAAAATTCTGAAAAAATTTTCAAAAACGAGTCACAAGAAACAACGCCCACAAATTTTGAAAATTCCAAAACTCCCTTACAAGGAAACAATTTTGAAAATTTCAAAAATTTTTCAAAATTAAATTCAAAAAATTTCGGAAATTTCCAAAACGAAAATTTTTCAAAATCAAGTGAAAAGAATTTGGAAAAAAATTCAAAATCCAGTTTACAAAATTTTGAAAATTTCCAAACCGAAAATTTTTCAAAATCAAGTGAAAAGAATTTGGAAAAAATTCTAAAATCTGAAAATTATTCAAATCTCCATTCCCAAACGTGTGAGAAACTCAAAACCCCACCGCCCTGTTACACCTCCGAATCGGATTATTCTCCAGCGGCGGATCGAAGAAGTTTCCCCAACTTAATGCAGAATTGGCCGGAGCGGACGGCAAGTGTTCCAACGGAATTGAATAAATTGGGTCGTAGGAAAAAATTGAAAAAAATTCGACAAAAATTCCCCCCCAGCCAAAGAGACAGCAACTCCACGGAAAGTGAGGAAGCGGAAGGTGGAGAGGAAACGGCAACAAATCTCAAAAGAAGTTCCAGCTGGTGTTTTGAGAGTTCTCCCCCGGCCCAGGACCAGGAAAAGCAACCCTTGGCCCGACTCCATCGCTCCTACTACAACTTGACCCAACTGGATTTGGGTGCGGAGAAAATGGCCGAAAAACGTATCTCCTCCGCCTCCGGCGGGGATTATGAAACAGAATTGGTGTGCAAAAACAATTTCCTTTTGGATGAGCTGTCGGCCCACTATGATCGCACGGCCTCCATACTCAATGATAGGCCCATGAGTGGAGAGAGGGAGGTGGAAATTCCCTCAAAACTATCCGATGTGGTGGATTGTGGGCCGGCACCCAAACCACCGGCCCGCAGACGTAAATCCTCCAATTCCAGCCATTCCGAAACGGAGATAGAAGATCCTTCGGAGGTGCAACATGTCCAGCTGGTGATACGTAAACCTCCGGCCCGGCAAAAACGCCAGCCAGCCCACAATGAAGAGAAGGCCCATAGCCTGACGCAAGATTTCTCCTTTGCCTCTCTAATGCAGACGGGCAAGACATTTGATCAGGATCCCACCATGCTAAAGACCAGCTATGCCCAGAGTTTGGAGAAGTGCAATTTCGATTGCCGGGAGATAAGCAATCCAGATTTGTCCCGGTCCCGAACCATGCCAAAGCGCAGGTTTCATAGCCAGGCAAATGCCAGTAAAAAGAAGAATTTAGTCTCCTCCACCCCCAACTTGAATGCCTATCAAAAAGAGGGAGAGGGCGATCAGGAGTTTGAGGATGATTTGTTTGTGTGTTCGGCCACAAATTCCATGCATCAGCTGAATGTAAATCAGGCACCCAAGCCCTTGGGAATTCTGCTGCCAGCCGGTTCAAGAAGTTCCTTTGGCAAGGAGGTAAGTTTTTGCCCAGTTGTCTCCAAATATTCCTGGCAGGAACAATCCTCAGAGGAATGTCACGATGAGGCCGAGGCAGAGGGCGAATTACCCGCCTCCGAGGAAAGCGATGATGAGCTGTTGGATAACTGCGATGCTGTGGTCCTCAAAAATACCAAAGAAAATGAAATTATTGGCAGTTTTTATAAGGAATGTGAAGAGAAATCCGGTAAAGAGCAAACGACACAAGAGAAAACCATGCAAGAGAAATATAAGGCAGTGATCAAAGAGCTGCCCACTTTGATAAACAAAACAGGAGAAGATCAAAAAGAGATGTCAAATGAAGAGCACAAGAGAAATAATGGGGGAAGAGAAAGACACACGGACAGTGAGTTAACTACGCACACTACTCAGGCAAATGTAAACAACTCAATGGAAGAGCATAAGAGAAACCACACACACAGTGGGGAAGTGGGCGCTCTTCGGCAAACCAAACAACAGAGCAAAGACGAACAAATGCAATCGTCGTGTGAAGAGCAAAAGAGAATTGAATTAAATTCTCTTCCCCCACAACAGCCATTGGCTGTGGCTGTGGTAAAAACAAAACAAGAAACGAGCCATTTGAGACCATCCGGGGAACACATGGCCGATGGAACACAGCACGAAAACAATGGAATGGAACAGGGCGATAATTCAGTGGTCATAACGACGGCAACGTTTAGTTTAACCACGAACGTAAACAATGAAACATTGAGCGCCAACAAAACGGATATTAAGCCAGAATTACAAAACGAAAAAGTGCAAGACGCAGCAGAAACAGACAGTCAAGCAAAAACAAACCAAATCAATTGTGAAACGAAGACAATTAAACCAACCATTGTTATTGCCCGGCCAATTAGCATACAATTGCCGATTTTAAGTGAACCACCCACCAATCGGGCCCATCACATTTTGTACGCCTCCCAGCAGATGTTGGATAAGTTCCAGAGGCAACAGGAAAACGAAACTCGTCAATATTCCAATAAATCCCAGTCCGTGCAAAATCTCAGCAGTAAAATGTCATCGGCGGCGAAAAGCAATAATGCCACCATTTCCAGTTCTTCGTCCTCGACGACAAAGATCAACAACAACAATGAGATCATGAAATCGAAATTCAAGGCCGATGAGAAACATCCCAATTCGAAGGGATTTTTATCGCGTTTTGCCAATGGTTTTAGGTTTTCCATGAGGAAGAACAAGAAATCCAAATTAAATAAAGAGGAGCAACAACAACAACCGCAAATGGAAATTAAAAAATCTAATGCAGCCCCAGTGAAAAGTAGTAATAAAATCACCTCTTCGTCCTCCTCGAAATCTGCTCAACCCGATTACATTTACATACCCTTAAAGGGACCCTTGCCGGAAAAATATGAAACGGGCTTTTTTGAATCTCATCAACAACAAAAGGAACAAACAAATGGCAACCCTACGACAACAAATGGCAATGCCGTAACAACAAATGGCAGCAATGGCAAATTGGCAACTGTTGCCAAAAAGGGCACCAAGACGAGCAGCAAATCTGAAAAGGTTACCGGCAAACCGCCCTTACCACCCCAACAACAGCAGCAACAACAACAACAGGCCACACAAAAATCCCAAAGCGCAAACTCCAACACGCCAGCGGTGATGGGTTCAAGCCGTTTCTACACCCAGGAATTACAGCAAACAGCTGATACGGCCACCACACCACCCTTTGCCGCCGCCATGGCCCCCCTCAATCCTCGTGGCAGTACCGAAGATTTTCTCAATGCCGAGCGTGGAGCTCTATCACGGCAACGCCATCAGTCCTTTGGCAACAATGAACAGCAGCACAACATGAACTATCATGATTTGGATGGATCATCGCCCTCACGTGCAACGGTCTCGCAAAAAACGGAAATGTTTAATAATTTATCGCGCAACGCCGCTTCGGGGGCTGCGGAGCCCAAAATCGGTCTAATCGAAACCAATTTGGATACGCATGAAACGGTGATAACGGGTAAAACGCGTTCCCTCATGAATATTGGACCCAATTCATCCTCCTCGTCGGGTCACAATAAACGTCACACCTTGGGTGGTGGACACCACCATGTCCATGGAGGTGGAGCCGGCGACGACGATGATGATGATTATGATGACAACGACGAGGTTGTTGTCCGTCCCGATGGCACTGTTGTTGTAATTAAAAATGCCGGCACAACGACCACCACGTCCGGTGGCCAGGCAGCCCAAATAGCATCGGTGCGACGTCCTCACAAGTCAATGGAATTTCTATTGGATAAAGAGAATCAAAAGGATGTAATGGTAAGTGTAAAAAAAACAAAACAAAAAATAAATAGGGAAAAGACAAAAAAAGAGAAAAAAAATAACAAAAGGCGAGAGACGAGAGAAGAAGAAGAATGACAAACAAAACCAATTACTTGAAAAAGGGAAGTGTGAGAAAACAACAACAAAGACAACAATAACTACTAAATAAACGTGAAATAATTGTTAGAAAAGGAAGTGTGAAAAAAGGAGAAAAAAAGTGACACAAATTGGAAAGGAAAACTACAATTACTAGTAAAAATAAAGAGTAATAAAAAAATTGAAAACAAAACCTGAAATATTTCAGCAAAAAAAAAGCAACACAAAAACAAAGAAATGAAAAATGCATAATAAATTATTCGAAATGTTAAATGAAAATTAAATGAAAAAATTTTAAATTAGGAATAATAAATAAAAAAATAATAATAAAATAAAAATAAAATAAAAATCATAAAATGAATGAATAAAGAAAAACAAAATGAATATTAAAAAAAGTGGACCCAACAACAATGATACAAATAATTCTATAAATATTTATAAATACTAATTTTTGACAAAAAAAAAAAAATAAAAATAAAATAAATAAATATAAATAAAATAAATAAAAATAAAATAAATAAATATTAAAAAAATACTTAAAAAAAAAAATAAAAAAAAGTTAAGAAAACGTGAAACAAAAAACAATGAAATTAAAAATAAAAAAATATATAACAATTTTAATAATAGAAAATAAAAATAAAAAAATACTTTAAAAAAAGTACAAAAATTAAAAATAGCTAAAAACATGAAACAAAAAAAAAAAAAAAAAAAAAACTATGAAATTAAAAAATAAAAAAAAGTAAATAACAATTTTAATAATAGAAATAAATAAAAATTAAAAAAATACTTTAAAAAAATACAAAAACAAAAATTAGCTAAAAACATGAAACAAAAAAAAAATGAAACTAAAAAAAAATAAATAACAATTTTAATAATAGAAAATAAATAAATAAAAATACTTAAAAAAATACAAACATTAAAAATAGCTAAAAACATGAAACAACAAAAAAAAACCAATTTAGTTAAAAAATTATAACAATTTTAATAATAGAAAAAAAAATATTTGGGAAAATAAAACTGATCCAAAAAAAAGAATAAAATACTGAGCACTAAAACAGCTAAAGAAAAAATCTGTCACTAGTAATAAATATATTATTATTAAAATATACAAAAATAAGAAATTGCAAAAAAAATTGGAACACAACAACAATGAAATTAAAAAATATATGACAATTTTAATAATAGAAAATAAATAAATAAAAATAGAAAAATACTTTAAAAAATACAAAAATAAAAAATAGCAAAAAAACATGCAATACAACATCAATGAAATTAAAAAAAAACAATTTTAATAATAGAAAAAATTATTTAAAAATAATAAAAAAATAAACTGAACCAAAAAAGAAAAAGAATAAAATACTGAGAACTAAAACAACTAAAGGCAACTCTGGCAATAGTACTATACATATTCTTATGTTTAAATAAAAACAAAATTAAAAAAATTGAAAAAATAAAATAAAATTACTATTTGAAATAGAATAAAAACTGAAAAATAAATAACTTATAAATTGAAAACAATTCAATAATAATCCGCAATAGAAACATTTTTTTTAAAATAACTACAAAAACATAATTTTAAACTGAAAGAATAGTTAGAAAATGTTGTGAAAAAAATAACAAAGAAAACCCTTACTGGGACTAGTACAGGGACAATCTGTGACAAAAAATAAATGCAAAAAAAAAATAATTAAATTAATTTTAAAAAATTAAGTAAAACAAAAAATAATAATTTTATTACAAATTAATAAAAAAAAATTGAATTTAACAAAAATTTAAAACGAAAGCCTTTACTGTGGCTTCTAAAGTGACAATCTGTGACAAAAAAAAAACACAAATAAATGTAAATTAATTAATTAATTTGAAAAAATTAAGTAAAATAAAATTAAAAATTATTTTTATAGACGCTATACAATGGAAAAAATTATAAAAAAAAATAATTTTTTTTTAAATTAAATTAAACAAAAAATTACATTTCAAATTAAAATACTCAAAGCTTGTTCATTGTTTTCTTAATATTTGATTTGATTTTAATAGACTAAAAAAGACATACAAATATTAAGTGAAACATTTAATAATATTAAATATATTAAATTAATTAAAAAAAAAACAATTAGTAAAATGAAATAAAAAAATAATATTTTTTAAAAACGCTATATAATAGAAAAAAAGTAATAAAAAAAAAACAAAAAATAATTAAATGAAAAAATAATTAAATTAAACCAAAAATTACATTTGAATTTAAAATTATAAAAAACTTTTATTGTTTTGATTTTATCTAATCTGAAATAATGACATACAAATATTAAGTAAAAACTAATAATAATAATACTAAATATATTAATTTAAAAAATTGAGTGAATTAAAACAAAAATAAAATTAATTAACGTTATACAATAGAAATAATCAATAAAAAAAACTAAAAATATTATTTTTTTATTTTTAACAAAATAAAAAAATATATAAAAAGTTTTAACTACGAATAATATACAATACTAGAAACATTAAATTGATAAAAATATAAAGAAAATACAAATTAAAGAAAACAGAACATAAATTTATTTATTTATATTTTTAAAACAATATTGATAAATTAAAAAAAATAATAATAAAATTAATAAAATAATATAAAAAGAATCAAAACTACCATAAGTTATTCAAATATATTTTTACTTAATATTAAAAAATAAAAATAATTAAATAAAGACTAATACTAAAAATATTGATTTATTTAATATAATAAAAAATATTCAATAAAACAAAAAAAAAATACATACATTTGTCATAAAAAAATAAAAATAAACAATTTTTATTACTTAATATTAAAAAATAAAAATTATTAAATTACGAAAACAAATACTAAAATTTTTAATTTATTTAATATAATAATAAAACAAAACAAGCAAAAATTATAAAATATTTAATAAGTATAAAAAACAAAATAAAAAATAATTTGAATAAACAATAATTAGAAAATAAAAAACTTTTAAAATACGATAATGTTTCAAAGCTACGATAATAATTATTTTAAAAAAATATGGATTTGTTATAAAAATTACAAAAATAAAAATTAAAAAATAAAAAATAATTAATAAAAAAAACAAATAAATAGAAAATAATTAATAAACTGCTAAAACTACGATACTTGAAAACTATGATAATAATATTTAAAAATATGCACTTTTTAAATACAAAAATAAATAATATTTATTGCTTAATATTAACATTGAATAAAATAATAATTAATAAAAACAAATAAATAGAAAATAAAAAAAAACTTTTAAAATACAATAATTTGTAAAAACTTCTATAATAATTATTTAAAAAAAAAAACATGAATCTGTTATAAAAAATACAAAAATAAATAATATTTATTACTTAATGTATTATCATTCATTAATAATTAATAAAAAATAGAAAATAAACTGCTAAAACGACGATACTACTTAAAAACAACAATAACAATTATTTAAAAAATATATAAATTCATTATATAAACTACAAAAATAATTAACATTTATTACTTTATATTAATAGTGAGTAATCATTAAAAATAATAACCAATAAAAAATAAATTAAAAATAAGCTGCTAAAAATACGATACCTGAAAACTAAATAGTTATACATTTGTTATATAAAAATAAATAATATTTATTACTCAATATTAATTAATAAAAAATTACAAGGGATATTCTTAATAAATAAAGTAAAAAGTTCCTGTTAAATAACAAAAAAAAAAACATTTAAAAACATAAATAAAAAATATGGGTATTCAGCTATTAAAAACTAATAATTATCAAATTATTAAAATCTTAAATCAAAACTAGAAATTTCTTTAACAACAACAAATTGTCAGAACATAGAATTAAATAAATAATAATAGAAATAAAATAAAAAATATTACCTGACTTATAGTTGGAAAAATGTAGAATATGATATAAAAATGAAAAAAAAAAGAAATATAAAAATATTAATAATTAGTACAAAATAACAATGCAATGAATTTTTAGAATAAACAGCACGAAATTAAAAAATAATATAAAATTAAAAAAAAAAAATAATTGAAAAAAATAAAATCAAATCAAAATACCGAACATCTGGAGGTACCGTGAACCTCTACAGCTAATTATCTGCCAGAGAAGGTTGTGTCTAATACGATCTCCCAACACTAAGTTTGAAGATAATAACAATGGATTAAGAAAATAAAAAAAGTAAATATGCCGAAATTAATGATAAATAAAAAAACTTGACAAAAAATAATAATAAATAAATAAATTAAAATAAATAAATTATATAAATTTCGGTCAAACTACAATAATCATGAAGAAAAACTTATATTCAAAAAAAATGGGAATTCATCCTTAATAAACCAAAATACATATTTGATGAAAAAAATGCTAGCGTGCAAATAAAGTAAAGCAAATATTCTAATAAAAACTTAAACATCAATTAATATTTTTAAAAAATTAACACACAAATAATTACAAGTGAAAAAGTAATAAAACAAATTTTTCAATTATTTTTAATTTTTTTTCGATATTAAAAATATGTGATAAAAAATCCAAATTAATTGCTGAAATAATTTCGAAATGCAAAAAAAAAACAAATAAATAAATAAAAAATAAAATTAAAATTTTTTTCTAAATAAAATAAAATAATATTAATAAAATTAATTTTAATATAAACAAGAAAATTTTATTTTAATATTAATTAAAAATATAATTATTCAATAATAACGGAACTTTTGAAAAAAAAAAATTGTTGGGAAATTCGTAAACAGAGATTGCCATTTAATATCAAAAAATACAAATTCTAACATGTTAAGAAGTATTAGTCAATTTAGCTCACATATGCATACCCTTAGCCAATGTTCGATTATTTAAATATATTTTGTTTTGTGTTAT